TTTTTTTCCACAGTCAAAGTCCTTTACATGCTGTGTAACAAACTCCAAGCGGGCTGTCATATGCCTTTTAGTCAGCAGTGACTTATGTCTTTCCATTCTGCCTTGCAGGCCTGATCTATGTAGTGCTGTCAAGATTGTTGCCCATCCAACAGGTTCTCCCATCTCTGCACAGGACCTGTGAAGCTCTTTTAGAGTTTTTAGGTTATTTCTCACCTCCCTGATCAAGGCCCTTCTTGTGCAAATGCCCAGTTTGGCCGGATGGTCAACTCTAGGATGTATCAGAATTCAAACCACAACAAAATAAAATGTGCAAAAAGGGTCTAAATATTTTATGAATCCATTGTTTCTGAGACTGCTACAGCTAAACAGAGGAAATCAAATAAAACAAATTAAAAACATAGGAATGCATTACTACTGCTGCAGTACCTGATCTATTGTAGTGCTGTCAAAATTGTTGCCCATCCAACAGGTTCTCCCATCTCTGCACAGGACCTGTGAAGCTCTTTTAGAGTTTTTAGGTTATTCAAGGCTCTTCTTGTGCAAATGTTGGATGGGCAACAATCTTGACAGCACTACATAGATCAGGCCTGCAAGACTCCAGTCAACCCGGGCTTGAACCCAGAACCTTCTTGCTGTGAGGTGACAGCGCTAACCACTGCATCACTGTGCTGCCGTTGGTTGAACCTCACAGCTGATCCCGTGTCTCTGTTGTACTAGGTATGCACCACGATGGGACTGTGCCAGTGAATATGAGATCTGTGTAGAGCTGCTGGATAGTAGTAAGAATCCTGTGAAGGTATTTGCTCCTGATAAAGTTTGCTTTGAGCAGTGGGGCAGTCAGCAGTGGAACGAGGTATGAACAGAAGAGGAGGTATTTGGTAACACAATTAAGTTCAGCCCAAGGACAACTCTATACTCACTGATTGGTTGTTTTTCAGATGACCCATGTTTTTCGGGACTATGGACCAGGAGTGAGATACATCCGTTTTACCCACGGAGGCCAAGACAGACAGTTCTGGGCAGGATGGTATGGAATTCGTGTTACAGACAGCTGCGTTGAGATATGTCCAGCAGTGGACACATGACTCCTAAAGGTGTATCCAACACCTGCTTCCTGCCTTCACCTGAAATTGCACCTTTTTACCAAATAATCTTAATTTTATATGTTAATGGAACATTTAAGGGGGGGGGGAGATCACATAAAATAGTTGTGCTAACACAAAGGAAATGACGATTAAAATATATGTAAATAGTAAAATCATTTGAAGAAATCACTGAAGTAGAAATATATTGGACTGAAACAGTATTCAACATTTCCTACATTTAAAACCTGAATCTGAACAAAATCATTGACACCTGAAGTGTTTTTGCCTGAAATGGTCACAGGAGTTGTTAGTAAACAAACCAAAATCTAAATGCTCTATGTGATTCTAATTTTAATTTTACAGGCATTTTCATTACAAGGTGGGATAACACATTTTAATTTACATCAAGGCTTCTGTGGGTGCTGTGACCCCATAACTTGTGACGGTATCCACAGTAAGGTCTGAATAAAGGTTGAAAAAGTCCAAAGAGAGACAGATCTCAGCTGATTGTTTAGGAATGTTGCTATAGCACTGTTGTTGTGGACATCAGCCTCGATGGAAATGTACCTTGCACTGCTCTGTACTGTATAATATAATAAAAATACCTAATAAACATTTTGTTGCAAAACCAGTTTAATTTATAATTCCTTTGCGTCTCCATGTAGAATACAAGTTCAACCTATACCAAATTCACATCAGACAACATATTTGAAGTTGGGTTTTTTCATAATACTGGTTTATTGTGACGCAGTATCACAAGCAAGATACAGTACAACTTTGTCAAACTGAATAAAAATCATAGTCCAAGAAACTCAATTTGATTTCAATGTCGCCTTTACTTCTCCAATTACATTAAAA